AAAGAAGGAGGGAAAGAGATAAAGAAGGAAAGAGAGAAGGAGGGAAAGAAAGAGGGAAAGAAGAACGAAAAGAAGGAGGGAAGGAAAGAAAGTAGGGTAGAGAAGGAAGGAGAGAAGGAGGGAGAGAAAGAGGGAAGGAAGAAGGGAAAGAAGGAGGGAAGGAGAGAAAGAAGGAAGGAAAGAGAGAAAGAAGGAAAGAGAGAAGGAGGGAGAGAAAGAGGGAAATAAGCCGCTCCTCATAGGGCTTGTTCTCCATACCCTTGATCATTTCAGTCACCCTCCTCTGGACACATTCCAGCTTGTCAATATCTCTCTTGAATTGTGGTGCCCAGAATGGACACAAAATAGAGCATGGGGGGCATGACTTCCCTAGATCTGGATACTAGGCTCCTCTTGATGCAGGCCAAAATCCCATTGGCTTTTTTTGCCGCCACATCACATTCCTGGCTCATGTTTAGCTTGTTGTCCACAAGGACCCCAAGATCTTTTTCACACGTACTGCTCTCGAGCCAGGCCTCATCGTCCCCCATTCTGTCTCTTTGCATGGTGGGTTAATGCTCCAAAATCTGCAACACAGGTAACTTCTGGTGCCGAGCTTTTCAGAGCATGGAAACCCGATTTGTATTTGAACTTATGACAATTTGGAACAGAGTTTGCAGAGATTATTCCCTGTTTCCTGCTCCAAGGAACTCACCTGCAAACAGGAGGCTCTTCCCATTGCTTTGCTTCTCAGGGCAACTTATTTTCCCGGCCATCTCCAAATCCTATAATCCTGCTGGGCCTCCGAATGATGTCTCGTGCGCCTTCTCTCCGACTCTGAACCGGCGAGAGCAACTCACAGGGAAAGCCGTTTGCTGGTGATGTCAATTGTGCAGAGCTCTGTTTACCCTGGACTTTGCCCAAATGAAATTTCCTTTTGGACTTCCTTCCGTAATTACCAAATTAATGCAGCTGAATTGCCATGACTCAATGCCATAATACGATTTTACAAGGTCCAAAAATGCCAAACTACATTTTCCAGCAACTCATAGCACTGAGCCAGAGCAGTTTAAAGTACATTCAGAGTGTGCTAATTCTACAGGATAGATGCACCCGGAGTCCCCGGTTGCGCAATGGGTTGAACCGCTGAGCTGCTGAACTTGCTGACTGAAAGGTTGGTGGTTTGAATCCGGTGAATGGGGTGAGCTCCCGCTGTTAGGCCCAGCTTCTGCAAACCTAGGACACAATGGAATAATGGCTTCAAAGTACAGGAAAGGACGGGGATTCCACCTGAACATTAGGAAGAACTTCCTAACCATGAGAGAGAGCTGTTCAGCAGTGGAACTCTCTGCCCCAAAGTGTGGTGGAGACTCCTTCTTTGGAAGCTTTTAAGCAGAGGCTGGATGGTCATCTGTTGGGGGTGCTTTGAAGATGATTCTCCTGCTTCTTGGCAGAATAGGGTTGGACTGGATGATGGCCCACCAGGTCTCTTCCAACTCTAAGATTCTATTTTTTTGTGTGTGTCAGGAGTGACTTGAGAAACGGCAAGTTGCTTCTGGTGTGAGAGAATTGGTCGCAAAGATGTTGCCCAGGGGATGCCCGGATGTTTTGATGTGTTACCATCCTTGTGGGAGGTTTCTCTCGTGTCCCCGCATGGGGAGCTGGAGCTGATAGAGGGAGCTCATCTGCATTCTCCCCGTATTTTTTTTAAATATTTTTTTATTAAACGTTTTAAACAGTCCCTGATGGAGTCCACAGGCCAATGGCCAAGGGGTCGAACAGGAATCCCCCAGCACCACCTTCTGGGTTTGCTCCTCCAGAAAAGAATGAACTATGGGAAGCCACCTTTTCGTGACCCCAGCATGACAAACTCTTGGGAAATTCTTTCCCTGAGTCCGCTCTGGGATTGAGAAAGGTGGGGGTAGAAATGAAGTTAATTAATTAACTCCTGACAAGACAGAGGTGCTCCTGGTCAGTCGTAAGGCCGATCAGGGTCTAGGGCAGTGGTTCTCAACCTTCCTAATGCCTTGACCCCTTAATGCAGTTCCTCATGTTGTGGTGACCCCCCAACCAAATTTGGCACAATTACTAGATACACCCAAATTTGAATACTGGTGGGGTTGGGGGGGGGTTGGTTTTGTCATTTGGGAGTTGTAGGTAAAGGTTTTCCCCTGACATTATGTCCAGTCATGTCTGACTTGGGTGTGGTGCTCATCTCCATTTCTAAGGTTGAGAACCGCTGGTCTAGGGATACGTACATACAACCCATGCTGGATGGGCTCACACTCCCTTTGAAGACACAGATCTGCAGTCTGGGGGTCCGGATCCTGGACTCAGCGCTGACCCTGGAGCCTGAGGTGTTGGAAGCAGCCAGGAGTGCCTTTTGCACAGCTCAAACTTGTGCACCAGCTGCGCTTGGACCTGGAGACCCAGATCTGGCCATGACAGTCCACGCCATAGGACTTCATCGCATTAAGGAAAAAAGTTCGGCTGAGTATTTATTTATTTATTTGCAGTATTTCTATTCCGCCCTTCTCACCCCGCAGGGGACTCAGGGCGGATTACAATGTACACATATATGGCAAACATTCAATGCCAAAGACACACAACACATATAGACAGACAGTCAGAGGCTATTTAACTTTTCGCTTTCATCATCCATCTGCGACGCTGATGAAGGACTTCCGTTTTCCCCGCATGCTTTAGCTGGAGTCTTTTTTTATGGCCTCGTAAATTAGTTAAATTAGCCTCCCCACACATAGGTGGTACCTAATTTTCCTACTTGACAGGTGCAACTGTCTTTCGGGCTGCAAAGGTCGACAACAAGCTACACAATTGGTCGGAAGCTCACTCCGGCCCGGGCTGGCTTCGAACTCATGACCTTATGGTCAGAAGTGATCTTAATGCAGCTTCGGGTTGCAAAGGTTGACAACAAGCTACACAATTGGTCGGAAGCTCACTCCAGCCCTGGCTGGCTTCGAACTCATGACCTTATGGTCAGAAGTGATCTTAATGCAGCTTTGGGTTGCAAAGGTTGACAACAAGCTACACAATTGGTCGGAAGCTCACTTCAGCCCGAGCTGGCTTCGAACTCATGACCTTGTGGTCAGACAGAGAGCACTGTGGACTCAAACAATGATGGATCTGGACCAAACTGTGCATGGATACTCAATATGCCCAAACGTGAATAATGGTGGAGTTTGGGGATTTAGTAGTTCTGGGATTTATAGTTCACCTACAATCAAAATGCATTCTGAACTCCACCAATGATGGAATTGAACCAAACTTGGCACACAGAACTCCCACGACTAACAGAAAATACTGGGAAGGTTTGGTGGGCATTGACCTTGAGTTTTAGAGTTGTAGTTCACCTACCTCCAGAGAGCACTGTGGACTCAAACAATGATAGATCTCGACCAAACGGTGCATGGATACTCAATATACTCAATGTGAATAATGGTGGAGTTTGAGGATTTAGTAGTTCTGGGATTTATAGTTCACCTAAAATCAAAGAGCATTCTGAACCCCACTAATGACAGAATTGGGCAAAACTTCCCACGCAGAACCCACATGACCTACAGCAAATACTGTGTTTTCCGATGGTCATTGACGACCCCTCTGACACCCCCTCACGACCCCTCCAGGGGTCCCAACCCCCAGGTTGAGAAACACTGCTTTAGTTGCTCTTACTGCCTATTACAGAGGAAACTAGCAGATTCCTAATCCATAAAAAATGCAGACATGTGCTTTTTGTTGGAACTGTTTGCAATGTGTAATGCAGATTTCAAAGTATGTATGTATGTTTAAAATGCAGTAGCTATGTGCTATAGTGTATTCCTGTGTGGAAAGAGCTAACTGAACCATGGAGGGAGCGGCATTCCTAGAGAGGTCATAAATCAAGTGTATAGAGCAAATGGATGCAGCATTGTGTGTCGTGCGTCATACGTTACTCTGGAATGCAGGAGGTGTGGACTAGTACTGATAACAGCAGCTCATGTGTTCGTGATGTGACCATCGGGCAGTGTAGAAGCAGATTTACGATGTGCTTAGAGTTAAGTAGGTTCCTAATGTATATAGTTGTAAAATAAAGTAGTTTATAGCCTAAGCCGGCTGTGATTGATCGTGTTTCCTGCCTTGCTGTGCGGCCGATGCCAGTGACACTTTTCACCTCAAGAAGAGACAAGCATCTCGAGCTCTTAGGATGACCTGGGAAGGAATCCCACTGAATGCCGAAGCATTGCAGCGCATCCAAACACCTGGGAGTCACTCTGGACCGTGCTCTGACCTACAAGAAGCACTGCCTGAACATAAGCAAAAAGTGGGTGCTAGAAACAACATCATACGAAAGCTGACTGGCACAACCTGGGGATCACAACCAGACATCCTGTGAAGTGAAGACATCTGCACTTGCGCTTTGCTATTCTGCTGCTGAGTATGCATGCCCAGTGTGGAACACATCTCACCACGCTAAAACAGTGGATGTGGCTCTTAAGGAGACATGCCGCATTATCACAGGATGTCTACGGCCCACGCCGCTGGAGAAATTATACTGTTTAGCCTGTATTGCCCCACCTGACATTCGACAGGAAGTACTTACTTAGGAAATCCCTCGTAGTCCGAGGATGATGGTCCTCCAAATTTGGTGTTCTGGGGGTGGGTTCGTAGGTGGCTGTGGAGCCCTATTCTTGACCTGCATCTTCTTCTGCAATGAGGGCATTGGTTTCCAGGTGGGAGGCAGTTCCGGTCAGGGTTGGCTTGACACACCTTCCTCTTGGCATGTTTCTCTCTTTCACCATTCGTGCCTCTTCAAATTCTGCAGCACTGCTGGTCACAGCTGACCTCCAGCTGGAGCGCTCAAGGGCCAGGGCTTTGCAGTGTCTATGCCAGAGTTTTTAAGGTTGGCTTTGAGCCCATTTTTCAATCTCTTTTCCTGTCCACCAACATTCCGTTTTCCGTTCGTTCGGAGTAGAGCAACTGCTTTGGGAGACGGTGGTCGGGCATCCAGACAACGTGGCTGGTCCAGCGGAGTTGATGTTGGAGGACCATCGCTTCAATGCTGGTGGTCTTTGCTTCTTCCAGCACGCTGATGTTTGTCCGCTTGTCTTCCCAAGAGATTTGCAGGATTTTCCGGAAGCAGCGCTGATGGAATTGTTCCAGGAGTTGCATGTGACGTCTGTAGACAGTCCACGTCTCGCAGGGTTGGGAGGACAATGGCTTTATACACAAGCATCTTGGTATACCTATGGATGTCCCTGGTCCTCAAACACTCTCTGCTTCATTCGGAAGAATGCTGCACTCGCAGAGCTCAGGCGGTGTTGTATTTCAGTGTCAATGTTGACTTTTGTGGAGAGGTAGCTAAGGTAGCAGAAATGGTCAACATTTTCTAATGTTATTGGATAGTGGCGGAAATGATTCAAGCATTTTTTTTCAACTAATGTTGTAGTTGGCTTAAGCAGACGGACAGAGTTGACGTTCGCTGTATTCCTCTCTTGGCTAGCTGGTACTAGTCATTTCAGGCCCCATGGGTTGCTGGTGTCTTGCTGGATAGCGGTGCAGCAGCGGACCCGGTTCGAGGTGGGTTTTATACTCTAGCGAATGGCGGCATCGTGTTCAATAGAGAAATGTTTATTCTTACAAAGATTGTGAGATGGATAAGAGGGCGCGAGCGTCATTGGCTGCGTGATGCTTCTGCAAAGTTGAAGTAAAGGTGTTTGAGAGATGAGGGCTTGTAGATATCATTGCATTCCATGAGATCTTTGCTGATTTGCTTGTGGAT